ACAATTCCAATTAAGAATTTGAGAAAACAAATGTCTTGGGTTGCAAGAAGCAGCTGGGAATTTCAAAATGTCAAATATTTAGGGTAGTGTTATAGGGAGATTGAGTCCAAGTGTGGTTCTATGGCAGAAAAAAATGATAGGTGTAGAAAGGACAACCCCAGTAATATATGGGAGAGATATCCAAGTCTGAATTGATCTCCACCAAATTTGACAGAGATATTTGCATATCATATATAAACTAACATTGCTATAAAGTTCAAAACCCTGTTAAAATGCAGCTAAGTTCCTGTGGGCCGAACTTTTAATACCCTCCACTTTTTCGAAAGAACTTGCAAAATGTTAAGAAAAGGATGAGATGAAAAAAGTGCAACAAACTTCAGACTGCTGTCATTTCTAAGCCACTCGTCCTACAACCGTTAAAATTATTCCAGTGATAGATCATTATATTGTTTACAAGCGTACAAAAGCATTTTGGTGTGATTTTTCCAGAATAAGAATTATTTTTGATAAAATTCAAGCGTGATAGTGTGATTTCTTTATATTTGGCTGGAAAACAACAAGTGGCTATCGTTAGAGCACTCCAGCATTTAAATGTGAATAGATCTTTTGTGTCTCGTACCATCGCCAGTTACCGTAATACTGGTAGCGCAGCCCGACGTCAAGGCAGTGGACGGAAGAAAACAGAAACATCAGCAGAAATGGTTCGAAAAGTGAAGAAACGACTTGAACGAAACCCACGTCGCACTGACCGAAAAATGGCTCGTGAGCTGAACATTTCGCAATATTTCATTCGGCAAATATTAAAAAATGAGCTCGGGGTAAAGCCATTGAAATTCCAAAAAGTGCAAGCAGCAGAAAGAAAATAGACTCAAAAGAGCTAAAGAATTGCTACGCCGAAAGTGGTGAACTGCCGAATTTGGTTGTCCAGCAGTTTGTAAACAACAAAATGATGGTGTTTACTTGCCAAAGAGGTCAGCTGAAAATGTGCACCTTCGGTTGGCCACCAGAACTCAAGCGCCGGCCATGGTGATGGTGTGGGCCGCCATAACAGCCGATGGTCACTCTGCGCTTGTACTAATCGACCGTGACATCAGAATAAATGGCGAATAATATCGCAAAATATTCTGGAGAGTGTATTAAAGACTTGGGCATGCAAACATTTTGGCCGCAGACCTTGGACATTCCAACAGGACTTAGCACCATCGCACACAGCACACGCCTCAAGAATGGTTACAAAAAGAGGTTCCTCGCTTCATTTCCAGCGCACAATGGCCACCAAAATCTCCGGATACCAATCCGTTGTGTCTGGAGTATTTTGGAAAGCAAGGTTGGCACTTAAAAATACCAAAGTGTCGATCGACTTAAGCAAGCGCTTCGCCGGGAATGGGTCAAAATACCACAGAGCAACATTCGGGCAGCGTGTTATGGTTTCATTGGCCGTTTGAAGGCCAAAATTCGTGCCAAAGTTGACAAATTCGAACCAATCTAAACTTATTCTAAATTTTGATGCTATTTCCGACACTTTTTGCTTTCATTCAATAAAATTTAAAATTATGGCATTAAATTAAAAATTATAGTATTTGACTTTGTTGAAGTTTTTTTTTTTATCTCATCCTGTATATCGGAGCTATCGGTGCTTCCAGAAAAAATTTTGATGAATGTGCCAAAACCAAATGATGTTATACATTTGATTCCCAATAAACGTAAAATCGAATGAAGATATATGTGAAAGCTATATTCGAATCTGTACCGATGTCGACAAAATTTGCAAAGATATTTCTGAGCCGGATTTAATATCCGATATCTGGTACCAAATATCTTTGTTTTGTTGTATATATTACGAATATGAAGGACCCAAACACCAAGTCGAATGAAACGTATATATAAGATCTATGGCTATATCTGAGCTGATTTTGACCAAAGTTGAAGTACTTGCTTCTAGGCTGAATTCTGTACGACGTCGATCATATCTATACGAGTATAACACATATGGTGCTCAATAAAGTTGAAATCGGACGTTGATATATATGGCAGCTATATCTAAATTTCGACCAATTATCACCAATTTCAATAGGGCTAATTTTAGGGACAAACAAATGATTCGTAAAAATTGTATCTTCATCAGACAATAAATACGATCTATACTCTGATTACCAAAATACATGAATAGACGGATAACGGGCATACATAAATCGGCTCAAAATATCTGTGGAGATCGTTTTTGGCCATCGGGTTAAATATTTATTATATTAATAAGTAATATTAAAGCATATAAACGGATAAACAAATATGCTGCTAAAAACAAAATACAATTTCCAGAAGCTTTAGATGCTGCTACCATTAAATGTCCATCAGCTTGCAAATCAAGGGATGAATTACAACAATTGTGGGAAACGGGGTGGCGCCCAATCATTTTCAAATAATTTCCCAACTTCTCTCCATATTCGATTGCAAAGCAGTTTTTGAAATAATTAAAAGCTCTAAACTCTTGTGTTCGCGTAACTATAGTTTCGCCAGACTAATGACCATTTCTTACATTTAAATTAGTCTTAATTTGTATTCAAATTAAATTATTTTAATTACAACAAGCCTTTGACGTTGCAAATATCAGATGCTTGAACGCTACCTGTTTGCATGACATTTATTATGATGCTGTCGTCGTCACCAGGCAACCGCCATGAATGTGATTTCATCGCTCACCCTTCTGGCGCTTCACCGCCATCTTTGTATCAACTTAACTGCCAGCAAAGCTATTTCATTAGGTTAAGAACTTAATTAAGTTCCTTTGACTTAATTTTGTTTTTGTTATGCCGCCTTCATACCCTTTTCAACAACATATCTCAACCATCCCGCCCAACACCGACACCCTCGCTTCATCCACCTGCCTCCACTCATGAACATTCGTTACAAAGGCTTGTTTGCCAGCCTGCCTGCCTGCCTACCTTCCTTCGCATGTTGAATGACAAATTTCCACGGTAACTATTCGCTTAGTTGACTTTTGACTTAAAGCAGTCGACCTTAAAAACATACAAAAAAAATACATACATTTTGTGCTACATTAAGTTTCACTCTTACTAGTTATAAATCAAACTTTTAACAAAACTTTCTGTAGTTCCACAATCAGGCAGAAAAATCATAACTAAGGAAACTGGCGGCTACGACAGCGAGGACGACGAGGACAACTTCGGCACAGTACATGGCGCCCCACAAAACCTATGTTATAACAATTAACCTACCAGCATTCATTGTTCCCTTAGATATGATTCTGATTTGTGTGGATGGAGGGGTGGTGGCCAGGAAACGGCGTGCCAAACAAAGGACCTGCACTACAATGGCCTTTTTGTTTGATTTGATAAAATATTATTATTATTTGTAACAGGTTGAAATGTTTTCGATCAATTTTGTAGATAATTAGCAGGACAATAGTTTTGTGGGACCAATAACAACAACACACATACTAAATGAAGTGTACCTCCCCCTCCTCCAACCACCCTCCATTGTTTAGCCACTACGGCTTTCCATGTTCTAAACATTATTATGGTTTCTCTTTGTTATTGAAATATTTCAAACATGCCTAATTAGGGAGCGCGTAAGCAAGCAAGCAACCAAAAGACCAAGCGAGGGTGTAACACAATGTAATGACTCCTTGTAGGAAATTGAATAAATATTTGTATTGTAGCAAAAATTAAATAAAACAAAATCGAAAATCAAACTTGTTGAAACGCAAGGCACATTCACAACTTTGCCTACATAAACAATTTGTCTCGTGGGGGCGTTTAATTAGAATTGTTTTGTACAAATAACTAAATGAATACACAAATTATTTACAAATTGATAAAAACAAAACGGAAACATTGTTTCAAGCCTTAAGTAATCATAAATGAATAATAAGAAAAATTATAAAAAAAAATATTTTATGGTGGGTGGGTAAAATTTAAGAGGGGGTCTATTATTCTATCAAAATAGTCGATTTATTGTGAAACGTTGTATCTTATGATGTTTACGGCCGCCAAATTCTAAATTTCGTCAGATTCAATGGAAATACCTTGGCAGGATGAAAATATTCCAAGGAAGAATTTATGGGATTATTTTAAGGTATACAGGGTTGCCCATATTCGACGGACCCATCTGGCAACGTCATAACTTTTGACAGAGATGTCACATCGCTTAATGACATACCGCGTTTGAAGCGTCCAAGCAGATTTTTACCATGAACCAATACACGCCACGCAAGCGCTCTGAAATAGTTGAAATTTACATTCAACAGAAGAAGTTAATTGTGAAAACTCCACGTGCTTTTAAAAAATGTGAGAAGTGTGCTTTCTAAGAACACCATTAAGCGTTTATACGAAAAATTTTCGACTGGTAAGGCTTTTTCTAATCCGAAGAGACCATATAAAAGCCGACCAAGGCGATCGGCCGAGAATAAAGCTGCCGTACGAGCCAGTGTTGAGAGGTCCCCAAGAACATCCCAAAAACGCCGTTCTCATGGCTCGGTCCACTTTACAACGGATTATTCGCATTGATTTGCATTTGTTCCCGTACAAAATTCAATTGACGCAAAGAATGTTGCCTGCGGACAAGCACTTTTATTTGCGGAAAAAACTTTGACTAAAAAAAAGACGTTTGGTGTGGTTTGAAATTATAACTTGCTTTCTTTATTTTTCACTGGCTTATATACTAAAATTCTGTTTATTGCTGCATTTTCGTTGTCGGAAATGCAGCAGAAAAGAAAATACAGTTTTAGGCTAATATTAATATTTAAGTAAACAATTCTTTGGAAATTTGTCTGGAATAAAATGTTGAATTGCATATCAATATTTTAATAAACAATTCTTACAAATAAAGTATTAATGAATATTTATTCTTTGGAAATTTATTTTATAAAAATGCTGGATTTGCATATTAATATTTTGGTAAACAATTCTTTGGAATAATAAAATGTGGAACGATTCTCATTAAGGGGATAACGGGAGACACTATCGTTGAGGGGAATTAGTAGTTGATACTATAACACCCCACCCTTAGTTTGAGGCTCCGACGAAATTATATTATCTTTGCCGGATTGTTTATAATAGTTTGGTTTTTTAATTGTACATTTGGAACATAGGTTTGTTTATTCTTAAAGAGATATATAAATATAATTAAGATACATATTGATGTACCGATTAAAATATCTATACTATAGCCAATTATTTTTGAGTTTTTATCTGTATATAGTACTTGTTTCAGTGTTTCCTCGTATTCTATTTGTTTTAGATATAAATTTTCAAGTTTTATGTCTGCAAGTGTTGTGTTACTGGTATCTTTAATTTTTGTTATAAGGTTAGGTAGGATAAACTTGTCTTGTATTTTTATTTTAAAATTCGTAAAGGTTTTGTTTAACGTGTTTACTTCACAATTTTCGAATTTGATTAAGTAATTTCCTGAAATTTTTAATTTATCTTTGTTACAATTATGTGATATCGTACTGTTAAAGTGTTTAAGGATTAATACTCCTGGAATTATTTCGCTAATTTCTTGTGTATTTAATGTTTGCGTTTTGCAATTAGCTTCTTCAAAGTTTAGTATATTGTTCAAACAATTATCATTAATTTTTATAAGATTTCTTTTTAGGTTATCTTTAATATACGTGCTATAAATATTTCTTTCTAAATCTATAAGAACATCAGAATGATTAACCATTATGGATTTATTATTTTTGTCAGGAATGGGTACGAATGTTACCTTGGATAGTGAATCTTGGGAATATTGTGGTATAGAGAGAATTATTATAACGTTCCCTTCATTACGTGCTATGGCTACTTTTATATTGGTATAGCTGTCAAAGCTTGTGATTAAATCGAGTTCTGTTTGGGTGAGAATATCTGTGGGAATTATTCCCAGTTTCCCGGAGAAAATAATCTGTCCTATGTCGTCTACGTGATGCCGTAGGAGTGAGATGTCGTTGTTAATCTGGTATATGTGTTCTATAAATGTTATCTCGTCCTCTATGGTTGAAATTTTATTCCCTATAATATTCTTGAATTTGACTAAGTAGTCCCCGATAATGTTTTGCTGATAGTTTATATGGTTAGTTATGTTCTGGATTTGGGAGTTCATGACATTGTTTATATAAGTTAGTTTGTTCATTTTGTTAGTTAAGTTTTCTTCGTTCGAATGTAGAGATTTGAGAGCTTCAGTTATTTGTTCTTCATCATCGCTGTCCATTGTACCTGCAATCATTTTTAAGCCTTTTCCTATAATGTTTAAGAGTGCCCGTTTCTTTCTAAAATGTGGGTTAAGATTTTCTATTTTCGCTTTTAGTAGCATAAAGTTCTTGTTTATTGTACTGATTAATGTTTTTGATTCGCTACTGGATGTCTTTAGGGTGTCAATGTTGGTTTTAATTATCTCCATAGTTCGTTCGAATTCTGTAGTGTTTATTATGTGCAGTACTTTTATGTAGTGTTCTACGGTATTGGTCTCTCCTGTTTTTATCGGTATGTAACCATTATTGTTCGATAAGTCTTGTATGTCGAGGGTTTGGGCCTTGGTTGCTGTAGTAAATGCAACCATTATTATGATCCAGTTAATCATCTGAAAGGGGATGGTAATTATCTAGATTTTGCTTTAATTTTTGGGTTATTCTTGTCTTGATATTTCTTTTGAGGTCTTATATGTGCTTTGTAATATTTATGCCCTGTTTTTGTGTTTTCAATATGATCTTCATCGACTTTCTTAGATTCTATCTTTCTGTACCTCCTATGATTTTTACCCCCTCGAATTTCTCTTATATAGTTTGTACCTTCCTCTATCACTATATCGGTTCTATTTTTGTTAAGTTTATTAATATAGTTATTTTTCTTCTTTAATATTAGATCATGTATTTCGGGATATTTATCCTCATGTACTTTGCCATTTATAAAGTCTATAGGTTTGATTTGTGTGGTGCTATGAATAGTATTATTATAAAATCCAATGATACGTGATATTTTTTCCTCTGTCGTTTCGTCTTTGGATTGTTCGTCATGTCGTAGTAATCTTAAGTGTTCGTTCAATGTATTGTGAAGTCGTTCGATATCTGCGTTGGATGTATGGTTACTGTTTGATGTGTAGTGTATATTAATGTTCTCTTTCCTTAAATATTCTTGAATCGGAATGGCTTTAAATCCTAACTCATTGTCGACAACAATTTTTTCTATTCTTCCAAATGTGCTGGTATATTGCATTAATTTTGATTTAAACTCTATCCATGATCTTCCATTAATTTTGTATGCTGTGGCGTGTTTTGAAAATTTGTCAATTATAGTTAAGTAAAGTTGTTTCTCTAGTGTATAGAAAACGTCTAAGTGTAATATTTCTCTGGGTTTTGTGGGTGTTTCCGTTAGTTTGTAAGGTAGTCTAGGTGGTCTTCTGTCATACTTTTCCAATGTGCATATTTCGCAATTGTTAATGAACTGGGTTATCCTTAATTTAAGTTTGGGGTTATAAATTTTTGTTTTTAGTTCCTCGAACACTACCTGAATTCCTCTGTGATTTTTGCTTAGATGTTCTTCCTCAATTATGTTTGTTAGTTGGAGTTCGTCTTCTATATCGTCTAGTTTCTTAAAAGCCCTGATTAATTTGAATCCGTTATTATTTGAAAAGAATTCCCTACAAGTGTCTCTGAAAGTGTCGTAAAATTCATTGTCTATCAGAACTGCATTTATTTGTGTTGGGTGACAGTGGGTTTTTAAAATCATAATTGCATACTCTTTATCTAGTTCTTTTATTGTTACAGTTTTTCTAATATTCTGAAAGATGTTTTCGGTTTTTATCCTTGCTGATCCGGAATGAATTTTTTTTACGATGAGTTGGTTTTTAAATAAATTTATAGGTGAATCGCTCTCTTTAAGAATGGGTTGGATGTTTTCTAATGAATTGATCTCAACAATTTTATTTTCGATCCTTGATAATGCATCTGCATTACTGTTTTTTGTTCCCTTTTTGTATTTAATCTCATAATCGAATTCTGACAACTTGAGCCTCCATCTGACTAGTTTTGAGTTGGGTTCTTTAATCGAAAAGAGCCATGTTAGCGGTTTGTGATCTGTCTCGATTATGAACTTGCGTCCGAAAAGGTATGGGCGAAAGTATTTTGTGGCCCAAATAATTGCTAGAAGTTCTTTTTCTATCGTACTGTAATTGATCTCGTGATCATTTAGGGTACGACTAGCATAGCAAATCGGGTGGTTATCTTGAGATAGTATCGCTCCAAGGGCAAAATTACTAGCGTCTGTTGTTAGGGTGAATTTCTTAGTAAAGTCGGGGTAAGCGAGGATTGGGTCGTGTATTAGTAAGTTTCTTAGCGTATTAAAGCTTTCCTGATATTCTGGATTGGATATGTTTATTTTGGCATCCTTTTTAAGACACTTTGTCATGGGTTTAGCTATTAGCGAATAATCTTTTATAAATTTTCGATAATAACCAGTTAACCCTAGGAACTGTTTAATTTGTTTGGGTGATTTGGGGATGGGGAAGTTAACTATGCACTCGATTTTTTTTGGGTTAGGTTTTATACCTTCTAATGTCACGACATGGCCAAGGAATTCAGTTTCCTTTTTTAAAAATTCCGATTTGTCCAATTGGACCTTGAGGTTGGCTTCTTGCAAACGGTTAAAAACAAGTTTTAATGAATTTATGTGTTCCTGCAGTGAGGTGGAAAATATTATCACATCGTCTAGATAAACCAGACAGATTTTGTTGATATAGTCTCTAAGGACGTAGTTCATCAACCTTTGGAATGTCGCTGGGGCTGTCTTTAGCCCAAACGGCATTCGTAAAAACTCGTAATGGCCTCCTTCTACACTGAAGGCAGTTTTATGGATGTCCTCCTCTTCGATTTCAATCTGATGAAATCCTTTTGCGAGGTCAAGTGTTGTAAAATACTGGCATCTTCCCAGTTTGTCGAGTATTTCGTCAATGTTAGGTATGGGGTACTTATCATCGATTGTAACTTCATTTAATTTACGGTAATCAATGACAAGTCTCCATTTGTTCTTCCCACTTGCATCGGCTTTTTTTGGCACAATCCAAATAGGGGCAGAATAAGGCGAATTGCTATGCCTTATTATATTATTTTGCAACATTTCTTGTATCTGTCCTTCGACTTCTCTTTTATGTATGTAAGGATATCTATAGGATTTACTAATTATTGGAACATTGTTTGTTGTCCGAATTTTATGCTTTATAACGTTGGTAAAACTCAATCGAGTATTTTCTTGGAAGAAGATTGAAGAGTATTTTTTATTAGCTGTAAGAGACATCTTTTCTCTTCAGAATTAAGGTGTTGTGTCCTAATTTGTTGTTCCAAGCTATGATATTGCTTCATATCCTTGGTATCATCGCCTACCTTCTGCGTGGGCATGATTTTACTTAAATTTTTGTTATATTGTTCTTCAAAAAATATTGGTTTGTCATTTGTTTCTTCTCTATTTTCGCTATTTTTATTGTCAAAAAGTATTGGCATGTCCTGTCCGTTTATTTGTATGGAATTGTTTTTATAATTTATGCAAGTATTGTATGTTTTAAGTATATCGTTGCCTAGTAATCCATCATAGTGATTGTGAAATTTTAAAACATAAAACTCTAACGCATTATTAGTTATATTAAATTCTTGAAATGCTGGAATTACTGCCTTTTCTGTTATGGTAACTTGGTGTTGGAGAGTTTTAATAACAAGAGGTTTTATTTGGTGTATCCATTTCGGATGACAAATTCCTGGATTAATAATTGAATTAGTGGCTCCAGTATCCACTATCAGTCTCAAATGACCTAACTTGGTTTTTACCATTATATATGGTAATTGCCTGTCGAGGCTCTGTCCCGAAAATTTTCGGCTGTGCCTATTTCCATGGGTTCAGGCTGATTTCTAGTGTTTTGTCTGTTTGCATGGAAAGGGTTTTGGAAATTTCCTTCGTGGTTTGGGAATGGTTGTTGGTAATTTCTTCCTTGGTTTATGAATTGTGGTTGGTGATTTCTTCCTTGATTTGCGAATGGTGGTTGGTGATTTCTTCCTTGGTTTGGGAATGGTTGTTGGTAATTTCTTCCTTGGTTTGGGAATGGTTGTTGGTAATTTCTTCCTTGGTTTGGGAATGGTTGTTGGTAATTTCTTCCTTGGTTTGGGAATGGTTGTTGGTAATTTCTTCCTTGGTTTACGAATGGTTGTTGGTAATTTCTTCGTTTACTAGATTGTGCATTGGTCTGTGCTCTATTTTCATTGTTTCCGGTGTATGCGTAGCCGGCTTGAAATAATATGTCCATGGCCTGTTCCAAGTCTCCTGGGTTCCTACAGAGCAGGATGGATTTCATAGGCTCTGGAATTTTGCTTTTAAAAATGTTTAAAGCAGTGCGTTTATTATTAATCGCACTTTGCCTAGTTGCTTCACCTTCTCCTAGTATAACTACCAGTTTGTTGTTTAGTCTGTGCAATTTGTCCTTCACGTCATTATAGAAGTCTAGTGTGTTCGTCCTGAAAGTCACACTCCTTAGTTCGTCGAAAAGTTCTTCACTAGAACGTCTGTCCCCAAAATTGTTTTGCAACATGTTTTTTATGTCAGTCCATGAAATCGCGTGGCAGTTTATCTCAATTGCCTGCCTAGCTTTTCCTTTGAGTTTGGACTTTATAATGTCGGAGAAAAGTAATTGGGACAATTCGTCGTATGTGCGTAAGTGTGGGTAAATTCGGTCAACGAGGGTAGTAAAAGTCTGTAAGTTTTTTGAATCCCCATAGAACTCTGGTAAGTTGTTTAAGTATTTTAGCGGGTCTATGATTAGTCTATTAATCTGATTTTCGGCCTGTTCTGCCATTTTAGTTATTAATTTTCCTTTATATTTTGGGTTATAGTCCTGTTTATTTTTTTTTTTTTTTGTTTATCTACGTCTAAAATATTGTCTGAGTTTCTTTCTAAAAATGCGTCTGTTTCTGCTACTTCTTATGTCACGAATGTAATGTTCTGTTCTTTCGTCAGTCAGGTATCCATCATTCGATTCAATCCCTGAGTCAAGTTCTAATGCTGTCGACCCGTTATTAGAGTTTCTTGGTATGTATTCAAAGTCTGATGGGTACTCTGATAATGAGTCACTATCGCTCATTGAAATGGGAAAGAGGGAGGAGAGGGAAAAAAAATTTTCAACAATTGCTTGTAGGGAATTATTTTCCTACACGATTTTTCACAAAGGTATGTTAAATATTTTCTTATAAAATATACAAGATATTCTTAATTATAGATTTCTAGAGATAGTCTTACTTTGTAATTTGGTTGTTGGTGCTAAGGATTGCAGGTTTACTTTCTTCTTAGTAGTAGGGTCTTCCACGGTGCAGTTCTCGGCATGAACTGTTCTTTAACTTGTTGGTAATGTTATTTCTTTACAATATTGCTCCAATAGTTGCTGTCGAATTTCCTTAACATATTTATTTTGGTATTTTGTTTTGTTGTTGTTGTTGTTGTTTTTTTGAAGTTTATAATCCACTGAAGGAATATCCTTTTTTTTTCACTAGGTTTCCTTCTGACACAAGGATGTTCACCAAAAGGATAGATCTTTATATCCTTTCTGGTTCCACTAATATTTTTTAGTCACAGGGATATTTCTTAATATCCTTTTTTTTTTCACTAGGTTTCCTTCTGACACAAGGATGTTCACCAAAAGGATAGATCTTTATATCCTTTCTGGTTCCACTAATATTTTTTAGTCACAGGGATATTTCTTAATATCCTTTTTTTTTTTTTTCACTAGGTTTCCTTCTGACACAAGGATGTTCACCAAAAGGATAGATCTTTATATCCTTTCTGGTTCCACTAATATTTTTTTAGTCACAGGGATATTTCTTAATATCCTTTTTACTTTTTTCCTTCATAAAATTTGTGTATCCTTTAATCTTATAAAGGATATTTCGAATACCGCACTAAGGATTAAAATCCTAGTTCTATCACGCACAATAAAATCTGTTTTATTATTTTTATACGTTGGATAGGACTTTGCGGTATCCTACCGACTGCGCCACTTTTATTTGCGGAAAAAACTTTGACTAAAAAAAAGACGTTTGGTGTGGTTTGAAATTATAACTTGCTTTCTTTATTTTTCACTGGCTTATATACTAAAATTCTGTTTATTGCTGCATTTTCGTTGTCGGAAATGCAGCAGAAAAGAAAATACAGTTTTAGGCTAATATTAATATTTAAGTAAACAATTCTTTGGAAATTTGTCTGGAATAAAATGTTGAATTGCATATCAATATTTTAATAAACAATTCTTACAAATAAAGTATTAATGAATATTTATTCTTTGGAAATTTATTTTATAAAAATGCTGGATTTGCATATTAATATTTTGGTAAACAATTCTTTGGAATAATAAAATGTGGAACGATTCTCATTAAGGGGATAACGGGAGACACTATCGTTGAGGGGAATTAGTAGTTGATACTATAACAACAAGCCTCGTCGATTGGAATGGGCCCACAGGGTCCAAAGGTCCGTCGAATATGGGCAACCCTGTAAGTACCCCAGTTGCAAGATTTTGGATAATCTAACATTTCAGGTCTATTTTTGTTGTTATTTCGTATATTCGTATCTAATATTTGATGGGGGAGGGTATTCAAAAAAAAAAAAATATTCCATATGCACATTAGATATCTGATACCGACTTGATCGAAACCCGCGCCGCAGTGGCCGAAAAATGGCTCATGAGCTGAACATATCCCAATATTCCATTCGGCAAATATTGCAAAATGAAAGCCATCGAAATGCCAAAAATGCAAGAATCTACACCGCAACCGAAAGGAAATAGACTCAAAAGAGCTAAAGAGTTGCTACGCCGAAAGTGGGGAACTGCCGAATTTGGTTTTTTCCGATGAGGTAACATTCGTTGTCCAGCAGTTTGTAAACAAATAAAATGATCGTGTTTACTCGCCAAAAAGGTCAATTGTGCACCTTTGGTTGGCCACCAGAACTCAAGCGCCGGCCATGGTGATCGTGTGGGCCGCCATAACAGCCGATAGTCGCTCTCCGCTCGTATTAATCGACCGTGGCATCAGAATAAATGCCGAATATTATCGCGAAAATATTCTGCAGGGTGTATTAAAACCTTGGGCACGCAAACATTTTGATGGCAGACCTTGTACATTCCAACAGGACTCAGCACCATCGCACCCAGCACGCGCCACCCAAGAATGGTTACAAATGAGACTCCTCGCTTCATTTCCAGCGCACAATGGCCACCAAAATCTCTGGATACCAATCCGTTGGACTATTGTGTCTGGAGTGTTTGGAAAACAAGGTCGGCACTAAAAAATACCAAGGTCTCGATCACCTCAAGCAAGCGCTTCGCCGGAAATGGGCCAAAATACCACAGAGCACCATTCGGGCAGTGTGTGACGGTTTCATTGACCGTTTGAAGGCAATAATTCGGGCCAATGGTAACCAGTTCGAACAAATCTAAACTTATTCTAAAATTTGATGCTATTTCCGAAATTTTTTGCTTTCATTCAATAAATTTTTAAAAAAAAGTAAAAATTATGGCCTTTGACTTTGTTGCAGTTTTTTTTTATCTCACACTGTACATCTTAGAATAAACGTGCGATACATAATTAAGTAAATTTTGAACTGATAGTGTCAATGATACAGAATTTTAGGTATTTTTTCAATGTATATGACACTTTTCTGGGTGGAAATATTCTACCTGAATGCAAATCCTATAACACAGGGTGAGCATTTTTTCTATCAATTTTATACTTTAAAAACAAAAAATCAAAAAACACAAAATGTTTTTAAATGTCTTTTGAAAAAATCGACTTGTTTCTCGAAAATTTGTGAAAAAATATGCTTAAGTACATTTGATTGAAATTATTTACGAATAATTTTTCAGTTCTAATGGTTTATTTTCTATAAAAATATGTTCATAGAGGTTTTTATGAGACAATATTCGAAGGACAACATTAATTTCGGTTTATATTTTCCGTACGGGTTCTTTAATTCGAACATTGGATTGTTGTCTTAATGGTTGAAAATGGTTGGTTTTCTTTGATTGCAATTTTTTCCGCAGAAAGTTCTGCACATTCCTTTTAAAAATTACGATAAAAAACCTGCATTTTCATCTTAACTTTTATGTGACGTGTTAATAACACATTCCCTAACATCAAAACTTTTTATTTGATTCAATATGAAATATTTCCCATAATATTTCTTTATTTTTTCTAATCATGAAGTGAAAGCTATTTCCGAGAAATCCGCAATCTTTTGTTTGTTGTAGAGACTTTAAGCATTGTTTTATGTAAAATATTTGCGTAAACACCCAGGGGTTGGTTTTATTTTTCATCTATTTTTTCTTAACTAAGATCTAATTTCTGTTACGGAAAATTCCTATTACTTTTCTTGTTTTCCACAATTTATTACATAAGTCCAAACAGAGCCTATAGATTGACTTTAAATCTATAATAAAATGTGCTCCATAAATTTCCCTTGAAAGTAAAAGTGAATTAAATGCTGTTCTGTTGTCAAAATCCCTGTTCACCTTGGGGATTTCGGCATTGGTGGTTAGAGCATGTGTTTATTGCCCCGCCTAAGAACGGCATACATGACCCCAGCTGATAATTTTTAACTTAACATTATTTGCTTGTTCTAAATAAATATGAAGTCGGCATGAATAAGACATGTTAAATCCATATAATGCCATTTAATTGGCAACATATTTAATAAACATTTACGATAAAGCAAAAACTGTTTTGGGAGAAGCAACGAGGGTACGAAGAAAAGAACGAGCGAACGAACACCCTGAGTACAACAACAAATAACCATTAACATTTTTCGGAACACAGTTTGATTTGGCTACAACATCAGCAGAAAACCACAGCTACCATGTTTATGTTCATATCCCATTGGCACAAACAAAATAACAACAAGAAAGAAGAAGCAGAAGAAAACCCCCCAAAGCGTTAACATAAAACAAGAGCAATACAGCAATGGCAAAAATGCCAAAAGAAAGAGAAGAAAAAAAAAAAAACAAATATACATGTAAATACGAAATTATACCGATATAGCCTTCAATCATTTCAGGCGAATGCCTACAAACAACAGCCATAAAATCCAAATGAAAAAAAATATATATTTTTTTATTTTTATAAAAAAATGATGGCTATGATGAGGTTGATGATGTAGCAGCAACAGTGGATACATCAGTCCGGGGGGGTGGGACCTGACATCAAGGCGGCAAGCAAAAGTTTTGCTTTTGTGTGTGTATATGTGTCTCTATAAGAAGGCGTCTTTTATGACAACAATATAAATACATGGTACAAAAAATAGCAACAACAACAACGAAACATTGTATCATAAACCATGAAAATTGTTTAACATCAAAATTCTTTTACATGTTAAAACAAAAAAAAAAATACTTGCTAAGGACACAAGATGCGAAGATCAGAATACACAAACATACACACACATACAAAAATCAACTCCAACCACTGCAACTGCGACTCAAATACAAACAACAAAAAAAAAAAATACAAAACCCTTGTAGACCCTGAAGGCATCACAGAACAGTGAAATCAAATTTTAACGAATTCACAAAGACTAGCAATGATGTTTTGTAATTAAAATATAGCCGAAAGAAACAACAACAACAGCAGCAATAATAATGTATACATTTTTTTTATTTGGCATAAAAGGAAATATGGGTCTTATGTTTATTAAATAATATTTAGTATAATTTTCCATTACACAACGGAAAATATGAATGGATTTAAAAGCGTAGTATCAAAAATATGGATGGACAAAGAGACAAGTGTGCATTTGTAAATGCAAAATATTTCTGTATTAGGTTGCCGTATTCAAAAAACAACAGGAAGCTAAAAAATGTATACATCCAACATCTACATCCAATGCAGAATTAATTTACCCAATTCATATGGCGTTTAGGGTTTGGAAGATCAGAGCCAAAATTTCGCTTTCGATTCTATGACTACGCCATTCTCAAATGTATTTCCGCAAATACCAATTGAACCCCAAAAATGCAATTTTTTATATCAATTAAAATTCAAAACTTGACATATGAAATTAAGAATTTTATTTGAAATTCAAGAATAGTCAATTTAAATTCAGAAATTCCATTTGGAGTTCAGATAATCATTTAAAAAAATATAATTTGTATTCAGAATATTCCAATTGAAATTCAAAAAAAATCCAATTGAACTTCAACAAGTCAAAATGCAGCTAAATTGCAGCCAGGCAAAACTTGAAAGTTCTCAAAAAAAAAAAAAAAAAAATAAATAAATAAATAAATCCGTCGAAGAATATTGCTTAAATAAAAACCTTTTTATGGGGGCTATACGAAGACGTGGTGCTGCATTAGTAATTTTCTCTCATAGACTTTAGTAGCAATTACGAATAATGGGAGGTACTGTTGTATGGAGGCTATACCAAGATGTGGATCTGCATAGATAATTTTCCGCACATTTGACGCGATTCCGACGAATAATATAGCGAAAATCCTAGAAATACCGAATGTCTCGGGGTAGCTTTCTGTAATTGCTATACTTAAACGTAGACCTATATAGACAATTATCTTCCAGGAGGGAAAAGTACTCACAGAGAACTTCTTGTGTAGAGTTTCAGACAATTCCATTTAAAAAGTGGCTAAAATCATCAAAATACCGAATATCGAGAGTTAAAGTTATATGGGGGATATACGACATCGAAGACCTATATAAACAACTTTTTTTTGGGAGTAAAGTACCACAGTAGACTCCTTGTGTGGAATTTCAGACAATTAAATTGAAAAAAGTGCCTAAAGTCATCAAAATACCCTATATCGGAGGTACCATTATATACATACTATGTATAGTGGAGGGTATAAACACATTCTAAAATGTTAATTGAAATTTGAAAAATTCTTATTATTTATTGAATAACAACAATTAAAAAACATTAAGTTCGGACGGGCAGAACTTTGAACATTCTCCACTTTTGGGTAAAGAAAACATTTTTACATAAAAGTATTTGAATATATTTAAATTCCACTACAAATATGTTTAAACTTCAAATACCAGTAAGTCCATTAGGATACTGCTGTTAAACTTTTTAAAAAACCATAAAGTGGTTGAGGCCGTTATATGGGGTGTCATACCAAAACGGGATCCTCTTTAGACAATTTTATATTTCAAGAATTGTCATCTATCAAATCTTCTTAAATACCATTTATTTTGTAAATTTGACCAGGACTATCAATATACCGAATATCGGTGGGTATCGTTGTATGTGCGCTATAGGAAAATATTCAATGTTCTCTGCCGGAACTAGAACCTATTATGAACGATAAATATCAATCAAAAATCATCAACAATATGTGGGAGCTATACGAAATCGTTGATTCATCAAAAAA